CAATATAGTTTTGTTAGACTAACCATAAAGTTAATTTATGAGTATATACCCAAAAACCTCAGAACCTAATCAAAACCATGAAAGAAAGGGAGAAACGGAGAAGCATCATACCATGCTATGGCAGCTCCGAAAGCAAGTTGTCAAGCTGTCAAGATTTCACCATCTCCCTTCTTCATTCTACCTCTGGTAGACATAATTCCATGTAAACTTAACATAAAAAGATCAAAAAATAACGAGACAAAAATAATAATTCTTTTAAGTGAAATGACATGTAAACTAAACAACATAGCATCATGAAAGGCATATCTCCATGCTACTTACAGGTAGATCATCATTTCCTTCATACTGCCATATAAATACTACATAATTCAAGGGTCTCTTACTGTTGCAACTCAAGGCAACTCTTTATAAGCCATTGAATATAAGCCAAAAACACCCTGCAATAGTCAATCAAAAGAAATGTCTCAAAGGGGAGTTCAATGAAATAGCTTAAACAAACTCCAGGAAACAACTAACCTAGGGTAGATAAATGTTTGATATGACATCTTGCAGTAGTACCAGTGACATCTCTAACTTTCCAAAGCTTCCTGCAACCTTAAGCTTTCTACAACCTTAATTTTCTCCACCAAAAATACAAGCAACCATGGATAAGGAATGATGCAACAAAATTGATGTATACTTACAAGCAATATAGAATCACATAGAAAGGAACTAGTTCCTCATTTTCCATTACCTCTGCAATCATCATCGTGGTAGTCATCCTTTTGCCTCCCAAAACCTCCACATATGCCTCTGTCCACTCAATCTCCATTGTTACCCCTTCCATCACATACCACCACCTCCATAACTTATATACTTCCCGCCAACAATGGTCTTTTTAAGTCAGTTCTACCAATTCCCCTACTGCATAATTCCCCCTGATGAGCTCCTTCACAATCTCTCCACAGCCAAGTAGAACAAAGCCTGAATCGATTATTTCTGCAATTTTCTACTTGAATCTCCAGAGACATCGAGAGATCTAGCCAAAAGATTCATAGGTTCTGAATAGTGGATTCTAGGATCCCTAGTTCATCCCACACAAGACAAGTGCAAAAGAGCGAAGGAGAGGGCAATTTGTACCTTCACTCATGACCTTCTAGTTGGGGGTTTCTTTATAAGCCATTGAATATAAGCCAAAAACACCCTGCAATAGTCAATCAAAAGAAATGTCTCAAAGGGGAGTTCAATGAAATAGCTTAAACAAACTCCAGGAAACAACTAACCTAGGGTAGATAAATGTTTGATATGACATCTTGCAGTAGTACCAGTGACATCTCTAACTTTCCAAAGCTTCCTGCAACCTTAAGCTTTCTACAACCTTAATTTTCTCCACCAAAAATACAAGCAACCATGGATAAGGAATGATGCAACAAAATTGATGTATACTTACAAGCAATATAGAATCACATAGAAAGGAACTAGTTCCTCATTTTCCATTACCTCTGCAATCATCATCGTGGTAGTCATCCTTTTGCCTCCCAAAACCTCCACATATGCCTCTGTCCACTCAATCTCCATTGTTACCCCTTCCATCACATACCACCACCTCCATAACTTATATACTTCCCGCCAACAATGGTCTTTTTAAGTCAGTTCTACCAATTCCCCTACTGCATAATTCCCCCTGATGAGCTCCTTCACAATCTCTCCACAGCCAAGTAGAACAAAGCCTGAATCGATTATTTCTGCAATTTTCTACTTGAATCTCCAGAGACATCGAGAGATCTAGCCAAAAGATTCATAGGTTCTGAATAGTGGATTCTAGGATCCCTAGTTCATCCCACACAAGACAAGTGCAAAAGAGCGAAGGAGAGGGCAATTTGTACCTTCACTCATGACCTTCTAGTTGGGGGTTTTGATGATAAATCAGATGATGGATATGGAAATCGGAAGCCAGCCATTGATAGATCTGGTAATTGGGCCTCCGTCTGCAGTGTTAGTGGGGAGGGAAACTAGTCGGCACTGAGCTGATAAAGTCAGCGGGGGACGAGTCGCAGCCTTCCTCTGCCAACAGATGAAACGAAGTGCATCATCATATAAGCCTAACCTGGATGGAAAGAGTAGAAAGGCCGATGACGATGGTGCAGAAGGAGCTGCGAAGGAGAAAGACCTTCAAATTTCAATTTACGAAATGCTTTTGTTTGGGCATAAAATATGTAAAGTTAAATTGAATTAAAAAAATCACTATGATTAAGCGAACAGTTCAAGGCAGGCCAATTCAAAATTTTATGGTGGCAATAAAATTTGGGAGAGCGCAAATTCACAATTTTCATTCCCGCCCATGAATAGTCACGGTATACACTATACAGGTGAATTTCATTCAGTCAAATACCAAAGCTGAAATTTGAGAGGGACCAATGAAAATTAAAAGTATTTATGTCAAAACTAAAACTTGTGTCATTTTTAACAAAACCAATACAAAATCACCAAAATTTGATTCGGTCGTACAACCGACACAAAATAGACATTTGGTGTTGGTTAAGTGAATTGGCACAACCGACGCAAACGAAAATTTCTTATAGTGTAAGATTCTTTCAATAATTTATGATTTATGATTTAGAGATTAAGGTTTTTATAACAGAACAGGAAATCGACAATGTAAGAAAGTATAGAACACATGTGTGTTAGCTACGTCAGCGGGCAGGAGAGATCAACTTCACTTGAGTAGTATACAACTTATGAAGAAGTTGAGAGGTATATATAAATCCTTCTTCAATAGACCCAAAATGGAAATCATATGTGTATTGACCCCAAGGTTTTCAATCCAGTTTAGCCTGTTGGCCCGGTCGAGCGACTTGTTTGAGGTTTATGGGTCAACCACGTTTGCAATGAGGTTAATTAACAACCTTGCTATAGTTCACATTTATTTACGACAAACTTGTTTTTGTCATAGTTCTGAAAACAACCAAAAATTTAATCAGACGCAAGCCGGAGGGTCGCCAAAGGTTAATTGTGCCCTCTTTCTGAGTGCCTCGGTAGGGGAGAACTCGAATTCCTAAAAGAAAAGGTAAAACAAATTTAATCTATAATTTTCTAACTATGAAAATAATTATTACACTTCAAATCAACCATATGCATTATGCGATAAGGTTTAATGGATCGTTGTTCAACTAGAATATGAGTTTCATTATTGTAGGTTTACTAATTGCTTTCATCAATCGATTACAATTTACATTATAAGGTTTAGAATTTAGGTGTGAAAATTGTATCTACGCTTCAAGATTTAGGGTATAGGGTTTTTGTCATGTTTTAGGTTTTTTGTCATATTAAATGTGAACATAACATTATTTACGACAAACTTGTTCGTGAGCAGAAATATATACTAGTATATATTGTGAAAAATTTACTATTTATCATACATTACATTTATTCTTTCCCTCCACAAGTTCCCGCCAATTCATATTTTGGCCACCAAATGTGGGATATATTTGATGTAAAAATGTTAGTTTGTCATAATAAATGATCCCGATTTTATATTGTGACAAAATCTTTATTTGTCACATTAAGCATTTCATCTTCCGTTCCACAAATTCCTGCCATTGCATAGTCGATAACGAGTTTTTTGACTAAGTATAACCTGTCATATTATATGTAAATTCGTCATATTATGACGAATGAAGTTATCATAATACCTCTAACATAGTAGATAATTTGACAGACGATATTATGACAAATATTTTGTCACATTATAATCCAATGATTCCTCCCTGATGACCATATTTTGAAAAAGTATTGTTGACATAATAAATTTATCATAATATATACTTAATATTACAAATGTTGATGACAAATTCGTTATTTGTCACAACTTCTACCGAAGTTATGACAAACATGGTTGTTGTCACAATATATGATTTATTGTGACAAAATATAAATGATAAAATTTTCTTTTTGTCACAATAGGCCAAAATTGTTGTAGTTGCACTACTTAACAATTGATAGCTACATCCAGGATGGATAGTGATGGATTATCTCTAGAGATCAATAGCTCTTGCATCTCATCAACTACTTCCTGGCGGGGGCTATGTTTGTACCATAGCCAAGTATATTGATGAGTATCATGAGGAGTTTGGATTTGATCTAGGGGATACCTTGGTAGGATATGGTCATAAATTTAGGCAGCCGACCTACCCCTTTGGAGTAGAGAGGATGACATCAACTGGAGTGGAACTTGCTAAAGAGGATTGCCCGACCCATTATGCACTAATTGTTGCGGGGAAGCCAACTATGAGATTGATTAGAGCAAGAGATAATAGACCGGGATAGGAGGTTTGACTATTCACTTCAGCACCACAAAGGAATGATTATGGATCATATGTGGGGGATAAAACATATCTTCGAGTCAATGCAGAGACATGAGGAGAAAACCTACACTTGTACTATGATGAGTATAAATATATTATTATTATTATTAAATATTGTGGTATGTTTGGGGGGATTTGGCTTCTGTAGCCAACTTGGGGGAATAATTAGTATTATTAAAGGTTTAGGGATAATTATATTAAGGGTTAGTATTTGGTTAGGATTCGTATGTAGGGACAGGGTGGAGTAGCGGCCAAGCTAGGGCCGAGTAGGGGTATGTTTGTATTAGGTTTTCTCGTGCTTTCTTATAAAGATGTACTTTGTGGCTCAGTTTTGAAAATCAATGAAGAAGAAAACCCCTAATTTAGTTCTTTCAGTTTACTTATCGCTCTTGTGCTGCGATGCTTGATCCGTCAATGCATCGATAAGTATCAGAGCCTGGTTCGAGAGAACCGAGCTCGCTGCTGAAGCTCCTAGGGCAGGTATCGCCAACGTTCGATAGAAAATGTTGGGAAGAGGTCCCGCGAGCAACTACGCTGGAGGTTACGACCTCATACACTACTACCAACCTCGTTGATGGAGGTCACGTCGGAGACTGCCGGCCAACCAAGAACCCAAAAACGTACCAAGTCCGGCGAGGCTCACAATCCAAGACCGCATACAGCGTAATTTGGAGATTATGCAGCGCAACCAAGGGCGCATGTGTCGCAACGCAGATCGCCACGCAGCATGGTATCTCTGGAAAAGACTGGTGATTTGGCCTTAAAAGCGAAAGCGTTGGAGGCCATAGAATTGCTGGAGGAGATACCACCACCGCCAACCACTGATCTGCCGTTGCCACCATCGACTGATGTTCTAGTGCAACCACCGTCTCACAAGTCTGCTACCGTCGCTGCTGCTACGAGGCCGGGCCTAATGGAGGAGCTAACCCTAGCTTTGGTTCCTCGTCTCATTGAGAAGGAGGACGACAAGGCGATGTCTCTAGTTGCTGCTGTTGTGGCGAGGCCTGCCGATGTTGGGGAAGGGGTGAATCCTACTGCAACGTCGCCATTAACGTCAAAATTGCGAGCTGGTGTCGCGGTCAAGAAGCTCTTTGCTTCCAAGCCACGGAAGTCATTGATAAATTTGCAGGTAACACCACCTGTCGCGGTCGATGATGCATGTACTGCTGCTGTTGGTACAAGTCTGTTGGGTCTGCTTCAGCCCAATTGGAAATCGAGGAAGAAGCTTAAGGAGGATGGTGTCAAAAACCACGACGTCATGGGAAGCCCAGGCATGGTTCGCGGCTGTATCGGGCCGAGTATGGGAGGACTGGTCGGCAGGCTGTTGTATGGATTTGATCTGGAGACTTCCTGTAATGGTGATCTTTCTGTGGAGTTGGCAAATTGTGCTAGCCCTATAATCGTGGCTCAAGCAAGGGAGCACGGGAGGGAGATTCAAGCTGCCGAGACGAGAGCGAGTGAAGCTGATGGAAGGGTTATTTACACAAAGAGAATTCGTTGTGTATGGGTATGATGAGTTTAGTAAACGGACTTGGGATTTTGGCTCCTATGTACGGTGAACCACGAGGAAGACGCAGAGGTCGGGCTTCTACGTTGGAGTTAGGCTTGCATGGTAATATTTTTCAAGTCTTCTTCATGGCTGGGAGTTGTGCGAAGGTGTTGGAGGGTGAGCGTGGCATGGGTGGAATAATGTATGGACTGCATGAAGGGACGGGGTTGGAAGAGGACTCTCCTCGCTTCTCGTTGGCGATCGAGGGAACTGTCAATGTTGGGTTTGTTTGACTGCCACTACGTAATTGGAAATCTCGTAAAAGAGGTTGGTGTCGCGGATATCCACTCTCTTCGTCACCGTCACACGTGGGAGCGGGTCTTTTCATGTATTCGGGTCGAGACAATGCTTGAACTTCGGGACGAAGTTCTTCGAAAGGGAGGGGATTGATGAGTATAAATATATTATTATTATTATTATTATTATTATTATTATTATTATTATTATTAAATATTATGGTATGTTTGGGGGGATTCGGCTTCTGCAGCCAACTTGGGGGAATAATTAGTATTATTAAAGGTTTAGGGATAATTATAGTAAGGGTTAGTGTTTGGTTAGGATTCGTAAGTAGGGACAAGGTGGAGTGGCGGCCAAGCTAGGGGAAAGTAGGGGTAGGTTCGTATTAGGTTTTCTCGTGCTTTCTTATAAATATGTACTTTGTGGTTCAGTCTTAAAAATCAATGAAGAAGAAAACCCCCTAATTTAGTTCTTATAGTTTATTTATCGTTCTTGTGCTACGATGCTTGATCCGTCAATGCATCATACTATCATAGTAATGAGCATTGTTGGGATGCATATGAGCATAAGCATAGAGATGAGCTGAAGGAAAATCGAGGTTGGAGAGAATCGATGGATGTAGAACAATGGGCTTTGGCAGAGCATCAAAGGCATAGCTTCAAGATTTTGCAGAGCCAGCGAGATTGGATGCAGGAGTTTGAAGAGAGGTTCAACAATCTCCTTGCTATGGGTGGACCAGGAGGAGTGACTAGTAGGAGTGGTTTCTTTTATTTGATTGGAGTATCTATCTATCTTTTTTCCTTTAACTATTAACTTTGATATGAAGCATTAGCTGTCTCCACTATCTATTTATCTTTTGTGTGTTTATTTAGAATATCCTTAAAAAACAACGAAGTCGAACTATTATTAGCCTACCATATATTTCATTTCAATTATACAGTATAACCTTTATGTATTCATTGTACTAAAATTTAATAGAAGAAAGTTATGTATTCTTCCAAGATAAATGTATTCGATGTATTCTTTTAGATGGTCTAGATTCATGCTTTAATTACTTACACCTTCATTGATCATACATTTAATATAATTCATCGAATATATAGTGACCTAATCACTATAAATAGTACTATAGAAACATTGTAAAAAATCATATTCAACAATAGCTTCTTATTTGAAAGGTGTCCAAAAGTCCACCATGACTGATCAAATACGTAAAAAATTATTTGAGTAAAAGAGAGATTATCCTTCATGTACCCAAAAAGATTTGATGGTGTGGCTTGGCCAAAATTTCCATTTGAAAGTTAGTCAAGGAACGATATCAAATACTCTTAAGCGATCGTCGGAGTACCTTGAATTAGATCAAGGATGAGTTTATAAATTTCTAGATTATCCTAGCTATATTATAAATTTCTAGATAAATTATATTTTTACATTTATTAGTTTATAGAGTTAAAAATACATGTATTTATGTAAGTTGGTTCTAAAAAATTATTATCTTATTATTTTATTAAATTTTCTTATTTTTTTACACTGGCTCAAGTCCGGATCGGAGAAATTATTAATTTATACTAGGTTATTAATTTATTGATTATTAATTTAAAGAGGTTAGAGTGTAATAACATATGAGGTAAACCATTCCAACTCTTTGTCATGCTCACCTATCTTTTAGTCTATTGAGGAAAATATATTGTTTAAAGTGTGTGGTGGAAGTGTGTTGTGATGTTTTGCTTTATTATGCTTTATACATGGTTGATGTTACTCGTTCAATTAAAAAAAATTATAGCCAATGCTAGTAGCTATGTTATCTATTTGAAAATTTCCAAAATTAGTAAAGATGTTTCTTCCATCAATTGACTTTATTAGTTATCTCCTACAGGTATGTTCAATGAACCTAGGTAGTGACTTCACTTCATATAGGCAGGCTAGTGTAGTGACAATGAAAATGTGATAGTCAATGGTATGGTATGACCATTTTAGTACCTTGTGAGTGTCACGATATTTAGGTCATTATAAATTGTTATTCATGCATTGAGTCTCCGTTTTTTAAATTCTTTTCCATGGGTTGAACTGTGCCTTTTATCAAATGCAAAAACTAACTATCTAGACATGATTTTTTCATTGAAATTTGTATTTCTATGATTTGAAATAAAGTGTGGGTAAGCCTAATGTGTGAGGCATCTATTCATTGCACAAAATTGGATTTTGGGAGAGATACTTGTTGGATTTCAGTGACCATAACTTAAGGATGCTATTTTAAGGGCACGGATAAAGCTTCCAATTGCCCTTAATTTCATTGATGCTCCACAAGGATTGAGGTATAAGAGGTAAAAGAAGTGCTCTAGTGATGATAGAGATACAAAAATTGTTCTTGCTCAACAAATAAGGGTCTAATGCTCTAGTAAAGCTCCTTACACAGGAAAAAGAGAAAAATAATGAAGAGAAAAATCAAGAAAATTGAAAGCATGTGGTTGTTGAAAGGAAAAAGTGCTGAAGGGTACGTAAAAAAGATGGTAGAAGCATTTCACACTATAAATTGTTTTTCAAAAGCTTCACCCTATGTGTGTTTGAGACTCCCTTTCTTTGTCGCAGCAGCCTTCTATTTATAAAGCCGATAGTCACTTTCACGGTATGCACATCACGGCCATGACTTAAGAGCTCAAATTGTGACGTCGGACAAAAACGCAAGTTAGTGGCGCCGTTTTGGTCCGACATCATGGTCACCTTGTAATTATCACGACTAGGAAACCGTGATAATCTTCAAGCTCGTGAGATGCCAAAATTCCTCTGTTTCCCACGATATTCACGCCATCAAGATGCAATTATCACGACCACCTTTGGACTTTCCTTCACTTTCTGGTGCTTTACGACTCCAATCGTCCAAAATCTCATCATCGACCCTTCCACACGTGCTAGGACCTGAAATGTATAAAAAATAGCACAACTTAACGTAAAATAGGTCGAGGGATGATGAAATGCAAAGCCAAACTAACAAGAAATGAGGGGTAAAATGTGTATAATTGGACCCAAATAAGAGAGAATATCTCCTTAGGGTTAATTTAGAGCATTGCGTAATTGATGCATTGGGCTCTATGAATGAGTGATTAGACTCTTAGTGCCATTTCGGGTCTTTATCCATTTATGGAATGGATTTGGTTGCCCCAATCGCCTAGGTCGGTAGTTCGGTACACCTCCTTGGTAGTGCAATTGGGCAGGATAGGGAAACTCGAATAGGGACTTCTATCTAGCTTTGATCTCCAACGGTATATGATACATGTGTATCATGTAGGGTATAACAATTCATAACATTGACTCAACTAGGGGGAAACTCATCTAAGTGAAGTTTCCTCAACTTGAATTCAATCACAATTTAGTTGAATGCTTGTTTAGTTTATTATTTAAAATAACAAACATTTACTTTGTTGAAGTAAGGGTAGATAGATTGCATGGTTTATAATTAAAAAAATACTTGCTCCTATACTACACCTGATTGAAGGTTACACTTGGCCTTTGATTAGGATAGTTATAGTTAGAAGCGGACCAAAGCTTAAGGAATATTCATTTCTTTGGCCCAAGATTAGAAATCTGAGTCCCAGTTGTATCACGACACCTTTGGCCGAGTTTTAAGAGGAAAAGACCTATAAAATACTTCTTCTTTTTACTATAAATAGGGGTCAGGTTGTAGGATTAAGTAGGATGTAAAACTTTATTGAAATCACTCTATTTAACTTGAGAAAGGAGCCACTCGGCTCGAGGGAGGCTAAATTTGCATTCATAAGAGGGGGCATCTAAGAAGATGTCTTCATCATCGATGGTGGTACCATCCTTCTCTCTTGTGAATTGTTAGTTTAAATTCGTTGTCAAGGATGTGAATTCTATTGATGCTTTATACATCTTATTTCTATGATGTGATGAGATGAGATGAGATGAGATGCTTTGATCATTGTTTATCTATGTTATTCAATGTTTATATCATGTGATGCCTTAGTCTTGTACACCATTAGATTCCTTAGTCATGTGATGCTTATGTTATTCGATGTCTTAGCTTTGTGATGCCCAAACCCTGCAACGTCTTCATAATCTGTTATGTGATATTATAGTATTGTTTACAATATCATGATAACTTGTCATGAAACTACTCTTATGCGATGTCATTGTCTTAGGCGTGCATGAAATGAAATGATAAACCATCCATGCATGACTAAGAACAATGCTTGATACCTTAGATCATCAATGCTATAGACCATTAATATGGTAAGAGTCCCTAAATAGTTAATGTGCTATCCATACTTCCTTCTTCGATTGATTAATCTGATGGCATGAAGTGAAATCACACATTAGCTAGTTATAATTCCTTTTTCATGTGGAAAAAACTCAATTAGGATGGCCTGAATGGATGGGAGAGGGTTAGATGATGCATGATAGACCGTTAGTTACACATGTTTTCACCCCTGTTCTTACACCGTTTGAGATGTGGTTTCTCGTGTTTTAGACCGATTTCACGCTAGGTTGTGCTTGTTTGTGATATTTCAGGTCCTGGCAAGTGAATGAAGGTTTAGGAGCGAGTTCGGGGTCGATTGGGTGAAGATCGGGCGCGAGACAAGTCACAAAGGAGGTCACACGGGCTGCCCTGATGTTCACACGGCCGTGTGAAGTAATGGCCTGGCCGTGCGAGTTTTGCCGAGAGCACACACGGGCAGAGCAGAGGATCGACACGGCCGTGCAAGTGGCCGGGTTGGCCGTGCCACATTCTGCGAGAGCAAACACGGGCAAGAGGGGATGTCCACACGGCCGTGCCATTCTGGCCGTGCAAAGAGCCTGGAATTCGAACTAAATGAAATGATGCGTTTTGACTCACACGGGCAACTGGGTGAGCTGCACGGCCGTGCCACCCTGGCCGTGTGAGTCGGGATTTTCTCCTT